TGACGAATTCACTGTCATATATATGCCTTAGCTGATCTGGAAAAGTTTCGACCACTTTTATTATGTCGTCCTTTATATCCAAGTTGTGAACCACTTTCCTTCCGGGGTGTTAGAGTAGGGCAAGTACTTCGCAACCTAGTTGACTGTTGCTTCTAGGATTGATAATATAGGCATATTTCCAAGGTGTGGACCAGAAATTTGGTCTTTTCTAAGATAAATGCCACAAAGATTTTCCCAAAAATACAAAATTATGCTATAATCTATTTTAAAACAAATACGTGTTTGGGATCATTCATATTTGAAATCCAGTTTGTACACGGTAATTCTGCCAAAAAAATCTAGGGGTTTGCTAAAAAGAAGGGAACAATTTGAGAAAGCCTTGTCACTCGAGAAGATAAAAGACTGGAGGCTGTTTGTATTTACCGGATAGAAGGTAGTTGACGTTTTTGAGGATTTATCTTCATTCCATAGCTGTAGAACGACTTCCTCAGCTGCAAATCCGCCTTGAAATTGGATGAAGACCGCTTCAAGTTTAAGCGGTTCTCTGAACTTGACGGAAATCCACTGAGTCGAACCGGAATCGGAATTCCAGCATGTTTCCGAATTGCCATCGAAAAGGTTGGTCTTCCCATACTGCTTGACATCACGACTGAGCACCGAGCTTACGGCAACCTTTTCAATATACTCAGGCAGTCTTGTTGGTTCCATAGAAACGCACTGGCAAAACGAAAAAAAGCGTTCTTAAGGGAGGTCACACTTTTTTCGTAAGGCATTGGTCAGTGTTGTTACTAACATGGAGACACTAAATCTTTGGGGCAAACTGTACTATTTATAGGAATTTCTACGCACCTAAAGATAGAAAACTCTGTCCTAGCCGATGAAATAGACACTGCACTTGCATATTTCATGAAAAATCGTACCGGTACCAGCAGTGCTTGGGGAACTGACTGCAGAAATAACGGTCTTTAAGGATGACATTCGTCCCGGACAGGAAAGTTTGCATACCATACGTTTCGTTGAAATGAAAAACTGAACTTAACGAATGGACATCTGGGGAAAACAGACCGCATCTGGTTTTGGGCGTTAATAGGTCACATGCGGTTAAACAGGGTTGGCAACGTCAGAAAGCAGAGCTAAGTTGGCAAGCACTCCGCAACCATGATTAAACACAGTGAGGTGCGAACACTAAGCCCTAGGGATGCTGGCTTTGACCGTGTGTGGTGGATAACAGTAAGTCCTTCTGGGATTTAAAACTTCAGAAAATTTGTTTGGAAATAAAACTACTCCGCAACTGCGAAGGAAATAGATCGATTTT